TATATATATATATATGCACAGTAGTCCCTCGATTATCGCAGAGTTACATTCCAGACACCACCGCAATAAGTGAAAAACCGCAAAGTAGGAATGCTAGAGATATAAATAGATCATTACTTTTTGGTTAACTCTTTATCCTGTACCATCCCAATCGCGTATGGGATTGGGATGGTACAGGATAATATGAGTAATATTAAAGTTGACAATCATGTATAGTGTACAGTCTTACATTGAAAAACCGTGAAAGAGCAAGTCCTCGAAAGTCAAACCACAAAGTAGCGAGGGACTACTATGTATATATGTATATATACTGTATATATATATATATGTGTGTGCATTACTAGTCTCAATTTTATGTTAAGCTCATAAGTCTCAATAATTCTATATTTCTATCATATTGTCAACATTATATTGTTGTATTTCAATTGTCTTGGAAGTTGAAACTCAAAATTTGGATTGATGTTGCATGCAAATTATTGCATTCCACTTGGAAATTAGAAAACCATTTGAATTTTTTTTAAATAACTTTATTTAACAAACAATAAAACTAACTGGATTTTCTCCCTGGTGCTCAGTCAGTGACAATGCTAGATGCTGTTAGCGGTTTTTTCATTCAACCTTTATTTATACAGGTTAGTCTCATTGTGCCTCGGGGACCCATTTACAAGAGTTTTTAACAAAGAATGATGACAACAACAAAGACAACAGTAGATGATCATAAAAGAAGGAATTTAAATTGAGAAGAATAAATTAAGGAAAAATTATATTAAAAAAACAAACAAAATAAAAACTGCTGGGTTGTAAGGCGATGTAAAATACTAAAAAGAGGAACATGTCTGCATTGTTTTATTTCAATGAACTTAGCAGTTGTTTGAAGTCACTTAGAGGGGTCAAGGTCAAAAGCTTCAGATCTTTTTGCAAGGTGTTCCAGGATACAGAAGCGGAGTAGGAGAAGGCTCTTTTGCCTAGTTCAGTCCACACTGAGGACTTTTTGAAGCTAACATTGATGTACTAGCTTCTCTAATTCTGAAGTGGCAGATTAGTTAGTGCTCGTACATTGCTTTGTGTGTGACTGATTTTATGAGTTACAAACTGATAGAAGTGCAAATAAATAGCTTGTTACAGCAGTTTTTGCCACCATTTTTCTTATACATATAATATATAATATTATATAATATATATGTGGCAGCCATGTGGGATTTTTGGGACGTAATTAGAGAAACCTTCAACTTTCCAAGTCAGATTTTTTACTTTTTTGGGAGAGCATTGCAGTTGATTTATATTCTGACTTTGGAGTTCAACTGGATTGCATCACTTATCATTTGACTGTTTTCATTATTACTGGTGACAGGGACAAAGCACCAGGGCAGAGAGAGTGTGATTACTCTATTGATAACATCAACAAGTGTATCCGGAACATTGAGCAAGCTTCTCTGGCTTCAGTTGGACAGACACTTCCCTGCAGAGATGATATCTCCATGGAAGTGAGTTCAAGTACCCCATCAACTCTACCTTGTTTGACAGAAATAATTAATATCTGTAGCCTTTCTGTTGTGGTTTAAGCTGTAATTTCCAATGATGTAACCCAACAGGCAATCCAGGAGCAGCTGACATCCTCTGTGCAGGAGATTGGTCATTTGATTGATCCTGTCTCCACAGCAGCCCGAGGCGAAGCTGCCCAACTGGGACATAAGGTGATGGTCACACCATATATCACATTACATCCTCTGGACTTACAACAAAATACTTTTGTGGCTGTTTTCAGTGCTGTTGTTCAGTCAGTTCTTAGATAAATTCCCGTACACATTCTTCTAGGTGACCCAGCTGGCCAGTTACTTTGACCCGCTTGTTGTGGCATCAGTGGGTCTGGCCTCAAAGCTGAACGACCACCAGCAGCAGATGACCATCTTGGATCAGACCAAGACCCTGTCTGAATCTGCCCTTCAAATGCTCTATGCTGCCAAAGAAGGCGGGGGCAACCCAAAGGTACAGAGTTGGTTCTAGTGCTCGTGTAGCTGAGCGAGCCAAAGACAATATTAGAAGTTATTCAGGCTGGTATCTTGAAGGTAGCTGTAGAAGACTGCAAAACATTTTGTCAAGGTTTCTTTGGGTCTTGTTGACCAGTTAGTTCTTTAAGAGTCACATTAATTCATTGACATGATGTTTCTTATGTAATTTTACTCAGCAGTTAGTTCATCAGCATTGAGTTTAACATACCGGTACTGATGTTTGAACACTCAACCTGAAAAAGCCAGGGACTGAACCACCATCCTCCTGTTGCTCATGGGTCACTCACAGCCACCACAATCCTCTTTTAGTTCAATATATTGCCAAACAACTTCAACTTTTTTTCAAGTGTTTTAAGAGTCACAGCTGATAATTATGTAGAAATCAATTTTTAGAGTGCGCTTTAATGAAAGACAGAGATCGTATTGGTTAAACACAACTATGACTCATTCTTGACAAACCAGTGCAGTATTGCAGGGATGTTAATCAACTGCTCGTGTCCTCAGGCATGCCACACTCACGACGCCATTTCTGAGGCCGCCCAGCTGATGAAGGAGGCTGTGGACGACATCATGGTGACTTTGAACGAGGCAGCGAGTGAGGGGGGTATGGTTGGTGGCATGATGGAGTCCATTGCTGAGTCCATAGGCAGGGTGAGTGGACGGTGTATGTGTGCACGTTGTGATAAGAAGTAGAACGTTACTTAAATTAATTTTGGGCTGATATAACTTTCCTTTCTAATTTGACTGGAAAGAGACTGAAGTATTCCTGGAAAAAAATGTTTCCACGAAGAACATTCTGAGGGCTTGTCCTTGTCAGTAATTATTACTGGTTCAGTAGATGATCACTGGCTAAATCCTGAAGGGCAATGTGTCAATATGTTGACAGTGTGCTTAATATTTGATGATGATCTCCACATATGCAAACTCAATACACTCAGGTCAGAAATATAGCGTTCATCTTGTTTTAATTTAGTGATACATAAAAAGCCTTAACTTTATATCAGTCAGCAACTTCTACTGTAAAATGTAAAAAGAGAAACAGTGTGGTATTTTTTTCATTATTCATTAGCTCCCTTTTATTTATTTATTACATATCTGAACCTCCTACAGTTTTACACCTCTGAGAGGAGGACAAACAATTTACTGATGACATTTTAGTATTCACGGCTTAACACTTAATAGTTTTTTTGTTGTTGTTTTGCTTCAATTGTTAGAGCAGGCGTTTAAAAAATTGTGAAACAGTTGTTTCCATGTAATAAAGTAATGAAAACCCCTCCAAGCTCACTGATACTGCTTGCTAATAATTTGTTGTGAGGTGGTTTGAAACTTAATTAAAGGTGTCACATACATCTCACGTAAGTGTGCATACCTAGAGTAAATTTATTCAGGATTGAGGGTACTTAAAGAACTGATCTTCACAGCTGGATGAGGGAACACCTCCTGAACCAGAGGGCTCTTTTGTGGATTACCAGACCACAATGGTGAAATTCTCCAAGGCTATTGCCATCACTGCGCAGGAAATGGTAAGTACTAATTCTTAAAGTTGTTGACAGACGAGCCAGAAAAACATCACTACGTTTATGCTGATAAGTTCCAATTTACTCTCTCTGTAACCAGATGACTAAATCAGTGACATGCCCAGAAGAGCTTGGAGGTCTTGCCTCTCAGGTGACGGTGGACTACGGGCAGCTTGCACACCAAGGACATCTTGCTGCAGCCACTGCAGAGCCAGAGGAAGTGAGAAGCCCTGCTGTCATGTTTTACAGATGACAAAATACACACGCGTACATTTAATTTATCTTGTCGTGTGTCTTTACGCAGAAGTGCAACTAAACATGATGAAAGCAGAAATTTCCCATTCTTTGATAATACCACTCTTACTCACAGCTGCACCAGCAATGCGAGATCAAAACAGAAATATGTTCCTCATGCATCCATCTTCTCGTACCGTTCATCAAAACTTTCCCCTGTTGTCTTCAGGATGGTAATGTGTGCAAATATTGCACTAATAAGCACACAGCTCTTATCAGTGTCTTGTATGTAACAAGCTGCCTGAAACCCTGTTGTGGTTACCATGGCAACATTGCACCTCTACAAGTCTAAAAGCCTTGTAATGAAGTACCACCCACCCATGAATTGCAGTCAGGAAATTAAAGGTGTAGTGCCAGCATTTTTCTCTTTGAGGGTGCTCAAAATGTGGCTTTTTTTTCCCTTACAGGCTAGAGAGACATGCCCTTAAAGGAAATGATTGAGATTGTCTACTATAGTGGCACAAATAAGAAGATAGTTGCAATGTAATTTTAAGCCATTTTATGTTTTCAGGTTGCTTTCCAGATAAAAACGCGGGTGCAGGAGTTGGGCCATGGCTGTATTTATCTGGTCCAGAAGGCTGGAGCTCTGCAGCTCAGCCCCACTGACAGCTTCTCCAAAAGGGAGCTCATCGAGTGTGCACGAGCAGTCACAGAGAAGGTAATGTAGCCAGGAACTAGTGGAGCAGGTTAGACTGTCTTTTAGGATATGTGGACTTTTTTAAAAGGCTGTTTTTTGTTGTCATTATTTAAAATATAATGAAACTATACAGGACAAAATTATAAACGCAACATATTTGATTTTGCTCCCACTTTTCTTGAGCTGAACTCAAAGATCTAAGACTTTTTCTTTGCACACAATAGGCCTTTTTCTTTCAAGTGTTGTTCACAAATTTGTGTAAATGTGTGTTAGTGAGCACTTCTCCTTTGCAGAGATAATCCATCCACCTCACAGGTGTGGCATATCAAGATGGTGATTAGACGTCATGATTATGGCACAGGTGTGCACAGGCTGACCACAATAAAAGGCCACTCTAAGATGTTCAGTTTTAACAGACAGCACATTGCCACAGATGTCAGAAGTTTTGAGTAAGTGTGCAGTTGGCATGCAAAATGCCAATTTGTTTTTCCTTTCCATGTTCCAGGTGTCTTTGGTTTTGTCAGCACTGCAAGCAGGAAACAAAGGCACCCAGGCTTGCATCACAGCAGCCAGCGCAGTTTCTGGAATTATAGCTGACCTGGACACCACCATCATGTTCGCCTCAGCTGGAACACTGAACTCTGAGAACGAAGAGTCTTTTGCTGATCACAGGTGCAATGGCACCCCACCCCACCCATACGCTCTCTCACACACACTTACACATATATATTCCCTCCCCATTCCCCTGCCCTGTCCCAACACCACCACCACAAACAGGATGAGCAGTTACCAATAAAGAGTAATGTGAAAAGTGCTGAAGCGGTAAAATGTTGTCTTTTTAAATTTACCTACTGTTCAGATTTTGATTATTAAACCAACTTGTGTTATTTAAATGTGACTCACTTAGAAAGATAATTTACCTGTAAAATGGTACTAGAGGAATAGCTTTTTGTTTGTTTGCTTGTTTGTTTGTTTTTGCAGCATGAATGCTGAAACTTGCTGAAAAAGTGCACACTTTGTTTTCAAGCTAAAAGAAGCAGAACACTAGTTACCATATTTTCCGGCATATAAGTCTCTCCGAGTATGAGTCACATCAGTTCAAAAAAGCATCATGAAGAGGAAAAAAACATATTAGTCACTTCGGCATGTAAGTCGCTTTTATTTTGCGTCACAGCTGACCCGTCGCGTTTATAATGTATTTATTTAATGGTCAAAGCAGCTTCATTTCGCCTGGGTGGTGTAGCACCATCCATCCATCCATTCATCGTGGCCAGAGCTGTGAGTCCTCCAGCATTCTTCTGCCTGCACCAGCTGAGTGAAGTGAGCGTGCACAGGAGGACTCGCTGTTGCAGTTCTTCGAAATTTAAAGCATCAGTCAAAAATTGAATATGTAAAAAAAAAACTGTAAGTCGCAGGACTGACAAATCTATGCAAAAAAAAAAAAACTTTGACTTTTACACCAGAAAATACGGTGTTGGTCAGAAGTTAATAGAAGTAAATGCTAGCTGAAGTAGCAAAACACTAACTACAATTAACAAAAGTCTAGCTAGGAGCTAAAAGTAGCAAAGACTATCTACAAACTAGATGTAGCTTAACAGAGCAACAAAATGTTAGCTAAAAACTACACCTAACAAAAGGGTGACCTGAAAGTAGAAGAGGAGTAGTTAAAAACTAAAAGTAGCAAAATAAAACAAAACTACAACAAATATACTGAATCAGATTCCCAAGAGAACAAAATTTTGAAGGAACTGAAGAACTTTTAGTGTATTTCTATATTATAGAAATATTTGTAAATAAAGTTAAATATTCAGAGTTACAAAAATCATTACAAAATTGAAAGTCGTGGCACCCATCTCCTGAATGAGCTAAACATTTTGATATTAATAATGGATAAATTGGCGCAAACTATGAAGAAGTAGTACAACTGCAAAATTGTAGCCAGGAAAAAATAAAAAACAGTTAAACTATTCTGAATAAGCATTTACACAATTATACACTTCAAAGATTGAATTAAAAATTGTCTGTACAAAACATTTTGTTCAGAGTCAGATCAACTTCCTGCTTTAGTATGACTATGGAGCAGATTGTCACGAAATGTTGTCCTGTCCATCAGGGAAAGCATCCTGAAGACGGCCAAGGCGCTGGTGGAGGACACCAAGCTGCTGGTTGCGGGAGCTGCATCCAGCCAGGAGAAACTCGCCCAGGCTGCCCACTCCTCTGCCAAAACCATCACCCAGCTTACAGAGGTGGTCAAACTGGGAGCAACAAGCATGGGCTCTGATGACCCCGAAACTCAGGTGATAAAAACATTTACATAAATGAGTGTCTTGTACGATCACATCATTTAAAATGTCATAAAAACAGGTTTTGTTCTGGAAGTGCAGTTTTGGTCAACAAAGCTTTTACCTGGTTGTTCAAATGTTCTTTTTAGAAGTCCATTTTCATCACTGCATCACTTCTTTCCCCTGAGTTCATATCTCCATCTTTGCTCTTCTCTAAGCCTGAAGTATCATGACTAGCTGCGAGTGATAAGTGCTAAATCCTCTCCCTGAGGCACAACTGATAAGCCTACACTCCGACCATTGTGCTGTATTGATTCCAACTCCATCTCCTCAGGTGGTTCTAATAAATGCCGTCCGGGATGTGGCCAAAGCTTTGGCTGAACTCATTGGTGCCACCAAATGTGCTGCAGGCAAAGCTGCCGATGACCCGTCCATGTATCAGCTGAAGAGCGCTGCCAAGGTAAAGGAACGAACCGCTAAAACAGACTACTGCTGTGTCTTTTTTATAAGTGGATTGAGACTGCAGATATGTATTCTGCAAATGTTTGGTCTGATGTATCAGGGAGCACAATGCTAAGCCTTTTTTTTTTTTTTTTTTTTTTTTTTACAATGAACCTATGACGGCTCTTATCTGGGTCTTTGCTGTATTTTTACCTCATATCTGTAGAACCAGAGCTGTCACTGAGATGTACACATATTTGTCAATGTGAAAAAGAGGATTTGTGTGCCTTACTGAGAGCTATCTATAACAAGATGTTCAGGAGTGTCACTTTGGGAAACTGTAGCAGGGCAGAGTTTTTATTGTTATTTTTGTCTAGTCAAATATCAAGACCTACTTAAGGTTTTTATTAACAATTTTTAAAAAATAAGGTAGCTCAAGTTTCTTTCTTTTTTTTTTTTGTTAAGTACCAGTACTTTCTGAGTTTCTAAGTTCATCGATATGCATATGCAAGTTTATGTATCAGATTTTACTAAAAAATATTTTTTGTAAAACTGCTGTGTAAGGCGATTGCCTATTTTTGTGTGTTTGTGAGTGTGTGCATGTATTTGTTTGTTTGCCTCGGCTGGATCTGTTGGAAAAAAATCTCATAGGTGTCTCAGAAGGTAGATCTACATCTGGTTAAATTTGGAGTCAATGCAATTCAAGATGGCCGCCACACTTATTCATCCTTAACACAGAAACAACGGTACTACTTTGTAAAATATTTAACATTATATATCTATATATAAATAGTCTAAAAACTATGTAAAAAATATAAGTGATACATGTTGGGCCAATAATTTAACAAAATCAGGCAAAGTCTGTATATTTGCTGTCAAGATGAATGCAAATGCTAAGCATAAAGCAGATTTTTTTTATTTATTTTTGTTAGATCTCTTTAAAAAAAAACTATGCTGAACATGTACAGTGCAGCAGAAAATTCAGATTTTTGGAATTTAAACACTGGATAAATTAAGATATATTGGATATAAAATTTAAAGTTCTCCTGGTGATCATTTCGTTGAGCAACAATGTTTCCCAGTTGAGCAGCTGGGGAAATACAGAAGTCGTGCGTTTATAGCCCTACAAGTGCATCACACAACTTCACATACATAAATTTTATTAAATGCAAAAATAAATGATGCAGAAAACGTTCAAACTTGGCTCCAGTTTGTTTTACTCGGCTGATATTACCTCAAATAAAACGCAAATGACAAACCTATTTGTACTCATCACAGACAAATCTCAAGTTATGTTAATTTCATGTTTCATTGGCTGGAAATAAAGTGATTTTTAGGTACCTCTCATTTAGTGCAGGTTTTGAGCTCTACTGCTCACGTCACATTAGAAACAACAGCCAATAAATTGCCCATTGGTTGAACACTGAGTGTTCAAATACAGTCGACTTAGAAGTTTAACATTTTCAACAAATTTCCCGTGTATTTTCTCATGCCTCATTACAAACGTACAGTTTTTTTCTGTATTTTTTTCTTATATATTCAGCGTTTCATTACACAAGTTTGTTCTTTACTTCTGAAGTATGTGGCACATCATCAGTGTATTTTTCACAATAGAAGTGCGTAATGACCACTTTTATGGCAATGCTCTAAATTATAGTTCTGTACAAAGGTTTTGAACAATAGCACCTTATTAGTCAGAGCTAGAGCTCTAACCAACCTCCGTTTGGAGGAACACAGTTTATTCTGACCAGACTGATGAGTTAACACCTGAACAAAGTGAGGCCAAGACCCAGGCCACTTTAAAACAACCTCAATCGCAAACAATTCATAGCAGGTTATGCGTACACTGTAATACAAAGCTGTAAGGGCTTAAAACATAGTTGTGTGGGAAGGGTGGATCAAAATGCAACAAGTTGTTTTAAGGGCAATCCACTTTCCCTGAGATGACTTCTGTTGTGACTTGGCGCTATATAAATAAACTGAATTGAATTTAGCTTAGACCAGCTGTTAGCTCATCAATCTGGTCAGAATAAAAGTTGGTTTCTTTAACATTTTGAAGTCATTCAAAGAGTGTGTTACAACTGGTCAGATAATATCACAGAACCAAGTTTTAAAAGATCGCAACAATTGCTTCAAAGCTAATTTAGAGCTAATATTTTAAATTAATTTTAAGCTAAGCAATGCTTATGCGAAAAATACTATTATGGATTTGGTGAGCTGGACTTTCAATGCGATCGACAAAATCTTTTCAACAAAACGACAGGGTCCTGGAGAACCCTCTTGTCTGGCTGAGACTCACGCTGCGGGGTACAGCAGAGATCCATGGGGAGTTTGGCAGCTGATGTGTCTCTCAGTTCTGTCTCAGGAGGACAGACCTTTATTTCATTTTTTTTTTTTTTCATTTACCCTTTGTTTATCCAGGTAGTCTCATTGAGCCACGAGAACTCATTTTCAAGAGGGACCTGTTTAGGGAGTAGATGGTGAGGGTTAAGGGCCTTGCTCAGGGGCCCAGAGTGGGGTGAATGAGGGTGGAGGGAGGTGTAGGTGTTTCACCTTTTCCACCCACATTTTGATGTTGATGGTACCGGGAGGTGAACTTGCGACTTTCCGATCACAAGCCCATCTTCTAACCTCTGCACCACCACTCCCCCATAGCAGGGTTTCTGCTGTTTGACATCGGCAGGGCTATGTTTTATCAACTTTTGAAGAAGCCATCGGCAGCAGTTTCGGTCACGGCAAAGCTTCCGAGCCTGTGTGAAGGTTTGGTTTATGCTATGAGGACTCAAAATCAGCTGATCTACGAGCTAAACCGTAAGATGGAGGTGATTTGTGAGAATCGCAGGCCACCTTTCGGCTTCAAGGACTCGCCAGCATGTTGGGATCAACCATGAGGAAGGCTCATAACACAGATCAGTGGAGTGAAATGCCCATAGATTTGGCCATTTTGGACCAGGAAAGTTCCAGCAAGACTCAAGGCTGACGAGGAAAAACAGTCTGCCTGAAGAAAATCAACAATTGTGGCTTATCTGAATCTGACTCCCCCATTTGGCCTCAAATACAAGCTGACTATCAAATTTCTCCTGGGACATGGGTAACTAGAGACAAAGCTTCATCTATCGTAGCGTGAGCTTTGATAAATGAATGTCAAATGGTAGATTTTAGTTGATGTTTAGAGTTTTGCACAAACTTCGTAGCACACCTTTGATCAGAGGAAAGATGTCCAATGGATGAAGGTGAAAAGTTATCTAACTCTGATCTTCTGATCACCGCCACATCTGCCAGCTGCTGAGTAACTAAAGCCACAGCTCAGAGCTCTTTTGTGTGTAACCTTTGTGCAGCTGTGTTCACAGAACGGAATAAATCAAGAGCAATGCTTTATTAGCAACAGACCATCATATACCTCTAAAAAAAAACTCTGTAGAACTTTGCCTTGAAAATTGGATCAAATTTTATTAGCAAGTGTAGGATATTTAGCAACTTATGAAACAATCAAACCACCATATTTAGCTGTTGCACAAGTTTTTTGTGTATGCGTTTTCTCATCTAAATGGATTTAGGGCCACCCATGGATGTCCTCATGTTGACAGATTGTTTCTGTTCCACCAACATATGGTGACCTCCATCAAAGTCCAGGCGATCGTGTTTCTCAAATTACAAACCCAAGCATGCACCCAGTTTACTGGCAGTGACACAGACAGCAAAATGTATCACAATGAGTCAGTAAAACTTAAACAGTTTGCCTTTTTTATATATTCGGAGTCAGTAAATAAACTGTTTCCCAGCATTGAGTCACCCTGTTTTTATTAGAAATGTACCCCTCTGTCCTCTGTTCTTGTAGAATTTCACATTTTTATTCACAGCATCTTTAACAATAGACTTTGCAGTAAAAGACTCAAAAATTTGATTTTTTTTTTCCCTCCAAAGACGAGAAGCTCTACCTCCTGGTTTGGGTTCAAGCCTCAGTATTGCTCTCATTGTTGACAGGTCATGGTGACCAACGTGACGTCTCTTCTAAAGACAGTGAAGGCAGTGGAGGATGAAGCCACTCGTGGGACGAGGGCGCTGGAGGCCACCATAGAGTTCATCAAGCAGGAGCTGACAGTAAGTGCTGCTAACAGACCGAGCCATTTCTTTCTGGTCCGTTGAGAGTTAAACTATGAGGTGCAGCCTCTGCACAAAGTTGGCTCATAAAGGTTCAGGGATATCTGTGTCTATTATTCTAAAACAACACAGGGGAACTTTTTGTTCTGTTCTCATTATTATCGTTTAGCTCTGTTCCTCGTGCATCTCCAGTGGCTCCTGCAGGTTTCCCACAAGCTCTTATCAGGGTTTGGGTAGCAGGCACAGCCGGAGTAAGAAATGAAGATTTCAAGAGCTTGTTTTTGTGTAATTTATTGCTAATCCCTATCAGAGGACCTCCAGCCTGAAAGGAGGCTTAACCAAGACCTGCAGCCCAAGCCAAGCCTAACAACGTTAATCTAATTAGATTACAACTTACGTTTTATTTAAATTTAGAGTCTGCTGTTCCTGTTTGTGCAACCTCTCTCAGGTGCACATCTTTATCCAACCAGCTGTGTTTGTGGGTCATTTTCATGTCAGGTGTTCCAGTCCAAGGACGTCCCAGACAAGTCCACTTCACCCGAGGAGTTCATCCGCAAGACAAAAAGCATCACCATAGCAACAGCCAAGGCGGTGGCAGCAGGCAACTCCGCTCAGCAGGAGGACGTGATCGCCACAGCCAACCTGAGCCGCAAAGCCATCTCTGATATGCTGACTACCTGCAAGGTGCTAATCCACACCTCCCTGCCAACACAGGCCTTCCACAGACACTGCGGGGCTGCCAGGGAACGTGAGAGCGCAGCCTGCTGAGAGCAGATAATGTGGAGTCAAGTTTGTTTTGTGGATGCTGCTGCAGGTAGTGACTCCATCACTTTTCAAAGTCACGCAAGGAACCATCAGTCAGAGCATCCTTCAGCTCCTGCAGAGTGCTCACAAGATGGGAAAAACAGATGAATGACTGGGCTGTTTAGGTTTTAAAATCAAAACTGCACAAAAAAAAAAAACGTTAATCAGCTAGAGATTTTCAATCATTGCTAGATAGTTCATATCACTATGCATATAATTAACATTTCTAGACCCTGCACGACACAGTTCTTTATTTCAATAAGGGAAAGTGGTGTTAGAATGTATGCTTTACATAGAACAGTGCCATTTTTTTTAATTAATTGCCCCCTTTCACCTCTGTTTAATCTTTGTTTTTTCAACTTTACAGCAAGCAGCACATCATCCTGAAGTGAGCGAGGAATTAAAAAGCAAGGCCTTGCAGTACAGCTCTGAATGTGCCACCAAATACATCAGCCTGCTGGAGGAAGTGCTGCAGGTTGGGCTGAACCATTCACATGGCTCATAAATTACAGACAAAAAATGATTAATGCATGTAGCCGAAGTTTTAGCGAGGTTGTTACAGCTCGTCTGTGTGTGTGTGTTTATGTATCATATTTATTTTATTATTTATATATTTTAAGGGGACTGAGATGGGGTAGATGCAGGGCAGCCGGCCACTTTACTTTACTTTAAAGCTTTAGAAACCCTTCCCACACTCTTGCAATGTTCTAAACTCTTAAACCTATGTCATTTTAACAACAAAGGTACTGTAATGTATATGTAGCTACAACATTTTATTTACCTGCTCTGCAGAACACAGCAACAGCTCTCTGTTCCGGTCCGACTCGGTTTGTTTCTTCAGATGTACCCTGCAGCAACGAAGCCCACAATCAATGTTCTAAACTCTTAAACCTACTAATTTTAACAACATACTTGTATGTAGCTAACAAATTTTACTTACCAGCCCGCTCGCAGGTCTTCATCGACCGGTTGAAAAACATGAAAAAAGTTCTGGTGGGCTCCGGATGGAGTGCCGGACTTTTGGCGGCATGTGTCCCGCTCGAAAATCCTCGTGGACCAACTACCAGCTCTGAAGATTCACCAATGAGTCTGGAGGGCTGGTTCTGCTCCAGTTCTGTGCAACCCTTGAGCACCGAAGCGCTCAAGGGTTTGGGGGTGGTGGGAACTTCGGGTGGCCGGAGCAGGACTGATGGTCCGATTGAGCAGTCCGAGAGATGAAAAAAGTCCCAGTGAGCTCCGAATGGAGCGCCAGGCCTTCGACGGCACGTGTCCCCTCTCAGAAGTCCTCGTGGGCAGGCTACCAGCTCACAAGATTCACCATTGGGTCTGGAGGTCTGGTTCTACTCCGGTTCTGGTCCGGTTTGGTAGGTTCTGTGCGGCTCTCTGCATCCACTGGGTGTCGAAGTCACTGTAATAAACACCAAACTTTTTCTGATCAGATGAAAACTTTCCCTCTAGTATTTCAGCAGAATGGAATGGGACTTCTGGGCGGGACGCTGTTGGCTTCTGGGAAATGTAGTCGTTATGAATGGGGATACAGTGTAGGCTTAGGTTGTTTTCACACCTGATAGTCCGGTAGACTCGGTTCTATTGGGGACCAATATTCAGAACGTTTACATTTTCAGCTGGTGCAGTTCGCATCCACATTGCGCTGAGGAACTTGCATTCACACTGCATTTGAACCGTGCTAGAGTTCACTTCAACCAAACCGAGACCTAGGTTTTTAGATGGACCAGAGTTCGCTTTTTTGGTCCACATCAGAATTTGATTGCGCATTCACACCTCCCCAAACAAACCGGATTTTCTAGGCAAACGGACCAGAGTTCGATTAAAGCGGACTTAACGGGACTGGTGTGAATCAGAGTCAGAGTCAGAGTTTCTTTATTGTCATTCGCACCTCATGTGGTACATGTGGTGGAGCGAAATTATGTACACGGGGTCCCAGTTACATCCAACAATAAAATGTAAAAGAAAAACAGTAATAACATCTAAGATATGAACTAAGAAAATCATCAACTAAATATACACTAAGCACTCATAACATAAAACATTGAACATCAGCACAAACATGAACATGAGTCTGTGTGAGCAGATGTGCACGCATGAACACATCGACATTGAAACAGATAAGCAGCAACATTGAAACTGATCAGCAGCAACATGAAACAGATCAGCAGCAACATGATATGGTTTTTCACAGTGATTATTCTGGGTAGAGATTCATGAGTCTAACAGCCTCAGGGTAGAAGCTGTTCCTCAGTCTAGTGGTTCTACACTTAATGCTCCTTAACCTCCTTCCTGAGGGGAGTGGGGCAAAAAGTGTGTGTGCTGGGTGAGTGGCATCCTTCATGATGCAGGTAGCCCTCTTTCTGCATCTAGAGGTGTAGATGTCTATGATGGTGGGGAGACTGACTTCTTGAATGAGTCATGAATGCACCCTTACCGAGAGAAAACTACAAAATGGTGGTGCCTGTCCGAATTATTTTATTTTTTCGTTGGCTTTTTACTGTACAGTATCCAGTACTGTCCCAATCTCGTGAGTAATATTAAAAATGACAATCATGTGTCCTGTACAATGTTTTTTAAAAATATGTTACTGTGCGTTGATAAACCGCGATTTGCGAGTCCGCGAAAGTTGAACCACGAAGTATCGAGGAACTACTGGTTGTTTTTTTGTTTTTTTGTGAACATTGGTTTAAAAGCTATTGGTTGTTTATAAATTTAATGAAACTATTTTATTGCTCATTAGTACAATTTATGTAGCAAAAATAAATGCAGTTTTAAATTACATTCTTGATTGGAGTTAAGACGTTTTGAGCATGTTTCTAGTGTTAATTACTTGTCTTTTTATCCCTATATTTAATTATCAAAACATAGAAATTGAATTAATAAATTAATGAACTACTAAAACACAGTGAACAATCTGGAATGATGTATATGCATTGATTTTCATCCTAATAGAGTTTATTTATTTGTTTTTGAATCCATTTTTTGTGTCCATTTCTCCAATTTATCTCAGCCCCTTGCTTAGCCTCTTTAGCCTTAATCCTAGAGCCTTATTTTTCTTTGTTTGTTGTTTGTTGTTTGTTGTTTGTTCTTCAGTATGTGAAAACAGAAACATATCTGGCTGTGTATCATCTTTTATTTCTAACTCATCTGTTACATTAACTTAGCTTTTAGGTCACCTTTATGCTAACTCACCTAAACGTTCCAGCTTTTATTATTGGTTTTATTATTGAAGTCTTAGTAGGTGGTGGACACCATAACATTTTGAAAGTGTTTAAAATAGATACTTCCACAACAGCTGTATAATTCTAAATTATTTTTAAGGTTTCAGGATGTTCACTACAATTTATATCTCAATATTATAATTTTTTTTGTGTGTGGCCTGGAGAGGCTTTAGAATTAAAAAAACAACCTCTTCTCGAGGGGTCAAACTTTATAAATCCAACCATTAAAAACATTAATGAATAACCTCATAATCCCTGCCCCTACCCAGGAGGGTTACTGTACCTGGGCATGCCGTGACCCTTTAGCACTTGGTGTTTGTACAAGTCACCATGCGGGACTCTTTTGTTTTCAGGTGCTTCAGAGATCTGCGCCGGAGCAGAAGCAGCAGCTGGCTGTGCACTCCAAGCATGTGGCGGCGTGTGTGACGGAGCTCGTCCAAACAGCTGAGGCCATGAAAGGTGACGCCACACACACACACACACACACCAACACACTGATCATCACACACTTAGAACCACATTTAAGCTTGGACTTTTAATTGCCAGTGCCCCCACTCTAACAAACGTCTGTCTTTGTATTTTTAAACATACTTTTTACAAAAGCTTCTGTACTGTGTCCAAACACTTGTGTGCCAGTGATTTTATTTTTTTTATTACAAAGACTGGACCAAACAGTAGACAAATAAGTTAACTAAATTAATCAGTTGTATTTTATTAGATTTATTTGTTTGTTTGTTTTTATTATTATTATTATTATTTTTGAGAAAGTAAATGAGTCATCACATGTGCTCAAATGCTCGGCTCTGCGTTGTGACGGGGTAATAAATAATGAGCAGATTTTAATTTCAAGATGACTGAGAGATGTTGTTGCAGCAGAGAGAAAGTGGCAGAGCTGAAATTGCAGAATAAATTCAGCTTGAAGTGGGGGACGGGGGTGGGGGGTTTCAGTTGGAGCTGACTCAATTTGATATAATGCAAAAATAAATAAATAGTTGGAGATTAGTCAAAGGAGTCCTAATCCCCCAGTGCATGAATAACATTACTGCACCAGTGAGCCTCAGCCACCAAACCTGTCTGCACCGCTAATAAAGATGGGTCGTAAAATTCACTTTGGAATCCTGAAATCAAAACATAAAGTGACCGTCATGCACAGCGTTTCAAATCAAGCTCTTTATGATGGTTACGGTACAAACACACACTCAAGTGTTTCCCCCAAGCTGCAGTACTGAATGTGACAGGAGTAATAGATTGTGTTTGGATGAGAATTAGATTTCAGGGCACAGCCCGACACACAGTGGGGCTATCCTCTTCACCCCTCTAATGTCCCATGTGCTCTCCCTCTCTCTCTCTCTCTCTCTCTCTCTGCTCTCCTCTTTCCTCACTGCTTCAGATGGAGGTAAGTGGGATTTGTTTTGTCCCCCCCCCACCCCCCAGATCACCTTTCACCAGAGTCAGAGAGGGTAGACGGCTCAGAGGGGGCAAGAAGAGATCTCTCCATAATCTATGAAAACGTTGTTCCATCTGCTTTACCAACCTGTCCACGAACAGCTTTGTTTCATGAACGTTTAGCAATCTGTTTTTTAAAAAGAACGTCATCTTTCAAATGTGAACGTTGCAGGAAAATATAATCATCTCACATTCTTGAAAGAGAGCAGTTTCGACACAATAACTATTACAAGGGTGTCAAAGTTCATGGTCAATAATCCAGATAAAAAATCCAACAAAGTTCAATCAGGTCATCTCATCATTTCATTTTTGTTGAGACATTTTGTCCTTCATCCAAAGGACTTCATCAGTCCTGATCAATACTTCATCAATCCCCTGTTGACTCCTCGTGTTGTTGACGGGGGAGAGGGCGAGCCCCAGAAATAATCTCATCACCAGCAAACAGTTTGGCCCACTGTGAGTGTGCTGCTTGTGGGATTCAGTTTGGTCGTCGCTCCTCGAATTGATGAAGTCCTTTGGATGAAGGACGAAACGTCTCAACAAAAAATAAACCATCCAGAGGACCTGACTGAACCTTGTTGGCATTACAAGAATGTTTTCCTTATTACCTGCTGCCTGAAGGTGCAGGCGGGCGACAAATTATAATCAGTCACGCAGATTATAATTATTAGATGTTCATCCACAACTTATTAACCTTTGGAGGCAGTCTGATTCAAGATGGCTGCCACAGCCATCTGACCTTAGAATACACAATAATGGCTATAATTCAGTGAATTTTACAGCTATTGCGTTAAAATGTCGTAGCTGAGAGTGACTCACAACAAATACTCAGATTGCTTGTTGTGTTTTGCTAATGTTTAACGTTACTTGTATGACAAGACTGTCAACAAGGAAGAGGGCCAGCAATGGAGGAGGGGCGTACCAACGAGACCATCTAATCACAAGCAGAACTGGTTTGTTCCACTTTGAAGTAAGTTGTTAGAGGAAGAATCAGTTTTGTTGTGTGTTTCCTTGACTGATGAAGCCTTCCGGATTGAAGGCGAAACGTTTCAGCACAAAAAAAGAAACTGTCCAGATGACCTGACTGAAAAATGTTGGATTTTAAACCTGGATTATTGAGCATGGACTTTGTTGTTACTTGTATGTGTTAACCTCAATTGTCGGTTAGCAAAATATTTCATGAACCACTGGATTTTACTGAAACCATTACGAAGGAATGACTGGATGTTTATCTACAGCTGATTAATTTTTTGGAGTCACCCTAACTCAATATATCCAATTAGCCAACCCAAAAATAGCTATAACTCACGTCAGTTTTCCATTTGCTGTGGTAATAGATGAGTTGTTCACACTTACACCTCATGATGCTGCATAAAATAATATTTCCAAGGTTTTCTTTCAACATCTTTGTCATTTCTCTCATGTAAGATGCGTCTAAAACTCTGACATGAAAGGCTGCGGGCAATTTATGACTGCTCTATAAATGCAAGTTGGGGGGAAAAAAAAGATAAAAACACGTCTGCCTTCGATCTCCTACCAGGATCAGAGTGCGTGGACCCCGAGGACCCCAACTTTGTCGCAGAGACCGAGCTCCTCGGAGCAGCAGCCTCCATTGAAGCTGCAGCCAAGAAACTGGAGCAGCTCAAACCCAGGGCCAAGCCCAAGGTAATAAGTGCCCCACTCAACCTTTCCCTCCCACGTAAACCCACGCACACAGCCCCCTGCTAGTAATCAAGCAGCAGACAGTGATCTGTAGACTCGAACTTTGAAGTAGGAGTCGTATTTTTTATTTTGCAGTAACAAAGCTGCTAGCCTGAAATCCTGAAAGGAGAGAATGAGTGTGTTGACTCAGACGGCTCACTTTCTTCAAAGGTATTTTCTTGAGCTACATTTTGAGTTGTGTTGCCAGGAGCTGCAATCACACAGCTGTGCTGTCAAGCTTTGCTGAACCGAGCTTTGGAGTGCGATGAACTGTTGACCCTTTGTGGAGGAGAGGCTCTCCGTCTTATTGAACATGTTGCGTTTGTTCTCTCGTGGCGTTCATCATTTTGAAACTGCACCCAGAGTTGTTTACCTCCATAGACACCAGAGATCAAACTCAAAACAGCAGGCTATATCGGAGTGACGCTGATTTTGCAATGTAAATGTAGTTTTCCTGTTCAAGTTTGTTTTTTGTGACGGGCTCTGCATGATTGTGTTTATCTGTTTGTTTCCCTCGTTGTGTGATCAGCTCAGCCCTCTGTCTGTGTGATATGAACATACATAGATTTGACCTATTTTTAATACAAATCATATAAAGCTGTCTTATGCTCTAATTCCACAGCTGCAGACTGTGTATATGACATATTTGTGTTTATGAAAGGAGATTATTCAGTGAAAGCCTTTTTCTTGTGTTTTAACATGTCAGTAGCGCCCCCTTGTGGGTATTTAGGAGAATGAAGGTTTTAACCTTCGTATTTCGATAATAAATTGTTAGGTTTACAATTTATAGAGGCCAGAGAAGTGCATTCATGTTTTTTTTGAGATGCAAATATACAAAAATCTCATGTTTGACTATAAAAAAACGAATCTTCTGCTAATTAAGATTTGGTTATTCTTAAAAGCTGATTGAATTTACTGTGTGATACACAAATCTAAAAAGTATTCGAGATCAGTTTATGTTTTTGAACGTGTGGTATTGTTAGAGCGTGATAATATTGTTTTTGCTGAGGGGAAAACCAGCAGAATAAAGGGGTTGACAGTTTCAAGCTAATGTTTCAGTTTTATTTATTTTCTCAACAACTGCTAGGACTTTCTTCTCCCTCCGCTCTCTTCTCCTTCATATATCCCACCCTTTAAGGGTGAACAGCTGTCCTGGTCCCAGCATGTTTCCTCGCATCCCCCCACCAAAAACCCCCAACCCCTGTAAGCCATTGTAGACCTGGAAGCCTTCTGTGCAGGGCTCTGTCTGATATGTTTGATATATTAGGTTGTTATTCAGTCCAACTATATATCAAACATATTCCTACAGTGTCCCGCCCTGTCTCCAGCCACGTGTGCCTTATGTGTTTATGGAGGTCTGTGGTCAATCACGTCCTATCGACTTCTGATGCAGAGGTGGTCATTTGTTAAATGTCCCTGAGCTGGCGCCTACAAACCCCACCCCCTCCCTCCCTGAACTGTGTGCATCTCCTCAGCTCAGGACTGGGAGGAAGTGCATCGTTATATATACATGCTGCTTTTTGTGTCACCTTAAATAGGGCTTTACCATTTTTGTTTTGTTTTTTTGTGGGAAAGGTCTACATTTTGACTGACGTTTTTGCTCTAACCCATGTTTTTGTTCTTTTATTGCAGATCAAGCTTTATATTTTTTGTTTCCCTATCTTTTTAAGACTAAAACAGAGTTTGTCGTTTTCTCCAGCAGGCAGACGAGACGCTCGATTTTGAGGAGCAGATCCTAGAAGCAGCAAAGTCCATCGCTGCAGCAACCAGCGCGTTAGTAAAATCTGCCTCTGCCGCTCAGAGAGAACTAGTAGCACAAGGGAAGGTCTGTCTTGCACATTAAGATGTATAGGCAAAAAGACATTTAATACTGCAATAAAATGTTTGCATTTGTCCTCACATTCTTTCGTCAGGTGGGATCCAATGTAGCCAATGCAGTGGATGATGGCCAGTGGTCTCAGGGTCTCATATCAGCTGTAAGTTTTTGTTATTAAAACTTCAGAAACTAGAAAAATGGCATTTTATGCAAAAATGCAATGCGTGCTGAATGACTTCATTGTGTATTTTTCTTTAGTTGTTGTTTTTTTGGTGGGTGTCGGGGGGTGAATTAACTACGTTAAATCTTTAAAATTTAAAGAAGTAGAACAGATTGTATAATGAGCAAGTCAGTCACTACAAGCTAAAATATAGCAAAACTTCAAGTTAAAGTCAGATGTGGCAAAATGGTAGCTAAAAGCTAAAATGAGCCAAACCATAAATTAAAATGAAAACTAAATGTAGCAACACTGTAACCAAAAGGTCAAATTAGCTAAACAGCAGCTAAAAGCTTTAATTAGCATGACTGTGGCTAAAAAGCAAAAGGAGTATAAGAACACAAAATGGAGCCAGTATGCAAAAGTATTATTCAGAGAAGAATATTTATGCAGGAATTTAAGACATTTTTATTAGGGATGCACAATATTGGATTTTTGGCCGATATCCAATATGCCAATATGTTAAATCTTTGGCCGATAACCGACACCAATGTTTTTAATATACTTTCTTTTGTCAGAACATAGCTTCTTATTTAGACTCATTTGCTACAAAAATTGTAACAACTGTAAGAGCTGGTGACATATACAAAGTATTCTGTAACAGCTATATGCATAACACTTTAACTTGTATTAAATGAAAAGTGTTAAATGTTATTTATTAGTCTAAAAAAGTTAAGTCTGGTCCTCTGGACATTCAAAAAACAAATGTCTTTTGAATGTCCAGAGGACCAGACTTAACTTTTTTAGATTTTTCTACCTGGATTATTGAGCATGCATCAGGTTATTTATTAGCATTAGTCACCTGCGATGCTGTCTCCCTTGTGGAGGTTTGTTCTGGGTTCATAGCTGCAGTGTGGGATCCTCTGCACTCCTGTGCATGAAGGACAGACGTTTTAAGTTCAAAGTTTTTGTCTATCCATTGTGCTGTAAGACTAATCATGCTAACGGGGCTAACACTTGACGTCCAAATGTCTGTGGTAAAACTCACCCGAGTGCCATCGGCTATTAGCTTCTCAATGGCGTCAGAAATGTTGGCTTGTAACTCGGGTAAGGTTACGTCAGAAAAATATCTCTGACTGGGGACGATGTAGCGAGGCTCAGCGTAGTCCAAAAATCTTCAGAATCTGACATCCTCAACGAAAATTTTTTTTCACACCACCGACATTTTGAATTTTCCTCTCCACCCTGAGATCAGGTAGGCGCGTGTGACATCATCACATTGTGCTGGCACTGCAGGCATCCTTGTCACTGGGTACACTGGGTCATACAAAAACAGCGTATTTTATGTTGGTGAGTTATTTTGATAGAATGGCCAATGTCCGGTATTGAACTTTAACGCTAATATCGGCCGACACCAATACCATGTCAATAATATCATGCATCCCCTATTTTTATGTCTCTATGCTGAAAGTACCATATTTTTTAGACTATAAGGCACACTTAAAATCCTTTAATTTTTTCAAAAATCGACAGTGAGCCTTATAATCCAGTGCATCTTATGTATTAATTATGGTTGTGCTTACTGACCTCAAGCTGATTTTATGTGGTTATTGTGAATGAGTTGAATAAAGTTTGACTTGTATGACTGTTTTGTTTTGCTTAATGCATAAATCCAGTGTGCCTTATAGTCTGAAAAATACAGTATTTGTCAATAAGGCTAAATAATTCAAAAAGCCTAACCGTTACAGATACTAAAAGTCATAGCCCACTATTCTCAATGAAGCTGAATGTTTTTGACACATGAACAGTAAAACGAGGACACAGCGTGCAGAAGACATTAGAAACATAAAGAAGAAACTATAAACAGGAAAACAATAGTTTTAATGCACCAAAGTGCTTGCTCAATAATCCAGGTGCAAATCCAACAACGTTCAGTCAGGTCATCTGGATGGTTCTTTGTTTTGCCGAGACGTTTCATCCTTCATCCAAAGGACTTCTTCAGTCTGAGGAGCCACAAACAAACTGGATAGTATTAATGCTGAATCCGTGTTCACACCGTTGACGTCAGCCTGGGTTCTTGAGCGAATCTGTTTCTTCTGCAGGCGCGTATGGTAGCAGCGGCCACCAGTAACCTGTGTGAAGCAGCTAACGCGTCGGTGCAAGGCCACGCCAGCGAGGAGAAGCTCATCTCTTCAGCCAAGCAGGTCGCAGCCTCCACGGCTCAGCTGCTGGTAGCTTGCAAAGTAAAGGCAGACCACAATTCTGAAGCCATGAGGAGACTGCAGGTGACACAGAAACATAACTTTACTGCAGCTGTGTGAATAACAGTGTGCACGCTAACTTTTTCAATATGTTCTTTTATTTTTCCCCCAAGGCTGCTGGCAACGCTGTGAAGCGAGCATCAGACAATCTGGTCAAAGCAGCTCAGAAAGCAGCTTTTGACAAGACGGAGGATGACAGCGTTTTGGTGAAGACCAGATTCGTTGGAGGCATTGCTCAGGTGAAAAATAAATCCTTGTGAAGGCTGTAGCACGAATGCTTTTCCACAGTTTGGATTGCCCTTTTCCGCTGAGCATTACTGAGTGTTCGTGTTTCTTGCTGATATGCTGAAATGCCACGGTCGCTTCTCTGAATTTGTGATGAGCTCCTGCAGATAAGACAAAAACAGCTCATCAGATCTGTTGCAAAGCTGTTGATCAGGTTTGTTAACAGCTCCAAAATACCACGCCTCCTTCAGCTAAAACAAAATGAGGTTTTCTTTCATCTTAGCAAAAATAAAAAATGAAATTGTTTTCCTTTCTCGCTCGCTTTTGTTAGTTTAGTGTTGTGGTTGTGTTCCCCTCTCAAGCTTCATCTTGTCGTCTTTTATCTCACTACTGTCACGTCAAACAGACAGGATTCTGGCACCTGACTGTCACTTTAACAACTTCACAATATCACTACCATTTTTTATACAGATGTGAGATAAATAAAATTTCAAATGTATTTATTTTTTTTATTATTGGTTCAAAATTGCTTTTACGATATTACAACTACATATTGGTATTTTGTATCAGAATAAGCTCAACGAATGCAGCTATAAGGAAAGGGAACAATGTTACAAGTGCACAGTTTTGTTTTTGGGTTTTTTCTGCTCCTAAAAGTTTGTTAAAAAAAAAAAAGCAACAATCAGAGTTGTAGTTTGTTGTTTTTTAAAGCAACCAAACTTTATTGACAATAAATTTATGACACTGAACATGCAGAAGTTCAAGAATCTTTATTATCCTCAAAGGGTAGTAATTTGTTTCACAGTCTGTATTCACACAAAATATCCATACTAGACAAGATATTCATACATTAAAATAACAGAACAGAAATCATCATTGTTCAATGAGAAGCCTGATCGTTACAGGGATGAAGGTGTTTTTTAGTCTGCTTGTCCTGCGTCCAGATGGAAGCAACCTGAACTCACCATGGAGTAGTGATCAGGATCTGCCAGAATAAGCCTGGCCTTGTTCACTGACCTCACCTTGTGTAGGTCAGTGAGGTTCTGTAGGAGTATGAGAGCAGTTTTGCTGCACATCCCAACAATCCCCGAGAGTTTGTTCCTGTTTTTGCATGTTATAAGTCCAAACCAACAGATGAAGGTAAAAGTTGAGAGACTCAATAAAACATAAATAAAACATTCTCATAAAAGTTGAATCAACATTAAAACCACAGAGCTTCCCATAAAAATACATTCTCTGGTAGACCTTCTTACAAAGTGAGTTCACATGGGGGTCAAAGGTCAGTTTGTCTTCGAGAACAGTTCCCAGATATTTATGTTGATGCACCACCTCGACAGCTTCACCGTTAATGACCACAGGAGCTGCAACCGAAGAGTCTTTCTAAAAATCAATGACCATCTCTTTTGTCTTAGAAACATTTAACTTTAACAAGGAAGACTCACCGTTCAGTGAAGTCCCCGACCACAGGCCCGGGGTCTGGGTCATCACTGCTGGGAAGAGACAGGTTTCTTCTCTTCACTGCTTAGATGAGCTATTTTGTGTTACTTTGTAACTTTCTAATGAAAGTTTAGTAGATAACTTGTTCAAACACCAAAATAGGCCATGATAGATCATCAAGAACTTTTCATGGTAAAAACATTAAATAAAAGGTTTAAAATTGATGATATTATCTGACCAGCAGGCAGCAATAAAAGCTGCATGGAAGAGGACTGACATGTTACAGAATTAGTTCAGTTCAGTTCATACAGTACATTACAAATTACCAGTTAGTAAAAGTTACCAGTAGCTTTAGTTAAATGCTCATTTTGCTGCAATCCTGCATCCTGAGCTCCATGTTGACAAGACAGGAGACTGATTGCTGAAAGCTCTGCCTCTCATTCTACTTTTAGAAACTTTAGGAACCACAAGTAATCCTGCAGTCTGCGAGTGAAGCGCTCTGTTTGGAGAATATGGCGCAATAGGATCCTTAATATAAAGTTAAGCCTGGTGTTCAGAGTTTTTAGTGTTACTGTAAGACTTTAAATTGTAATCTGCACATTGTACAGGAGCCAGTGGAGAGAAGATAAAATTGAAGAAACATGATCTCTCCCTCTAACTCTCATCAGAAGCAGCGTTTTAGTTCAACTAAAGATGTTTCAGATCATTCTTTTTGTGCGTCCAGATAATAATGAATTACAAAAATCAACCCAGAAGCATTAAATGCATGAACCAGTTTCTGCATTATCATCTTTTTCATGTGAGCCCTATTTACACGTAGTCTGAGGAAATTTGAAACGGCAAGCGCAAGGCTCGGTTTCCATCGCCTGTTCTTGATCTTCTCCTCAGATCATCGCAGCTCAGGAAGAGATGCTGAGGAAGGAGCGCGAGCTGGAGGACGCTCGGAAGAAGCTGGCTCAGATCCGACAGCAGCAATACAAGTTCCTGCCCAGCGAACTGAGGGAGGACGAGGGCTGACCGAGCCCGAGTGCCTCAGCAAAGACCCTCTTATGCTTTACGCGGACATGACTATTGAAAACACAGCACTTGAAACAGGCCTGTTTGGTGAGAAAAAACAAGTGCCTGTGCTCCGTGGTGTATTTGTGTGAGTGTGTGTGATGTGTGTGTTTGTCAGTGAATGTCATTGACATTCAGACTTTAATATGAAGGTTGTTATTGTTTGCAGTCTGACACAGTTGGATCAAGTTATTTGGTTAAATTTATCTTTACTTTATAAGTATTAGTGCATCATGAGCAGTACTGACTGTTACAGGCATGAATCAAAGATATTACTCATGGAAACATTCCTCTATAATTACAAAATGTTCTGTAATGGTTATAGGGTTGGAGCAAAGAAGATTGAGATGATAAATCTACAATTTAGGGTTGATAATGTGAAATCCTTGAAAGCATAAGTAAGAAGCAGTAATCGTTTCACCTCTGGATTGCATGCACCATAACAAATGTCAACCATACTAACCAGCAGAATATCACAAATGGTAACCTGGTGTATGCTGCTTAACCAACTAATATTTTCAAATCGAGGAGTTTTATTTGAAAAACGAAAAGGTTGATGCCAAACACGAAACGGGAAGTTCAGTTCAGCATGTGTATTATCAGTTAAAAAGCAGAGCGTATGTTTTATTGTCCAGAGGATCTGGATGAATTGTGACCAAAAACCTCTTGCTGCTCGTATATTATTTCACACAATAATCTCCCACCAGTTTCAGAATGCACAAAGCTGGTCATATGCATTATCGTTGCATTAATGAACACTTTTTCTATTTTCTTGTCTTTATGTTTTAATCCCTGCTCCACTAACATCAGCCACATTATGCTCTTATGTACAGGAGCACGCTCACATTTGGTTGTTTTCCACCACTCACTGCCTTCGTAAAGTCGTTTCACATTCGACTGTGACATTACACTGAATATTCTAACGACGTCATAATGCAACTGCGCCCCGTTATTGGTTAGAAAATGAGTTGTGTGTACTGTAATGATCTTGGGCCCCGGGCTCTGGACTGGTAATGAGAATACATTATGCTCTGAGTTTGCTCATATTTCTTGTCCTGTAGACGGCAGTTTAAAGGAAATGTTCTCTGAAAAGAAGAACAAGGCTTCACGCTATAACTGAAGAAACTATTTTCTTTTTCTTTGCTATAATAATCAGTTTTCAAACGTCCACAGCTCGTCTCTTCAGTGTGTCCATAGCGGTGTCTGATCTTCATTGTGCCTTACCTGAGTGTGCCCTGCAGCAGCTGGAGATCAGAGTGCTCGCAGGGCCTTGTCCTCTCCGGATCAAACTTTATGCCAATCTAATCGAGGGAGTTAAAGCTAACCTCGTTGCCATATAGCATAATGCCTTGGCTGGTGCCCTGCCTGCCGTCGGTGTTATACTGCTGATATAAAGGGCATCTGTGTGGATACTTTAGGATTTAGACACTAGGCTACAGTGAGCAAATGGCAATTAGTATCTGAAGCTGAGAAAACTGACTCAAATTCTTCAACTCCCTTCTGCAATGAGCTGATTAACTTCCTCGTCGCATTGTCTAACCACTATAAAAAGGTTTTTATTATTTAAATGTTATACTTAATCTAAACTATCCTGTCTGACTGATTTGTTGGAGTATTTAAAAAAAAAAAGAAAAGAATGAAAAAGAGTTACTCGGTCTGTTCTAAATCAGTGTTGTGCTTTCTTTGACAAGACTGCGTTCGTTTCATGATTTGATGCTGTATGTACTATATTTATCTGGTCACAAGAGTATTTTTTGTATTCATTCAAAATAAAGAGTTTTAAACAACCAGCATTATTAAATTGTGTTTTTGATTTAAATGAAATTTTAAAAAAATTATGACAACAGTATGCCTCTCTAAATGCATATTTTTTACTCAGATTCAGCAGTGAATGTTGTGACTTTCACTCATTATCTGATCCCAGATAAGCTTATAGGTCAAACAAAGCAAACATGTAAAACCCCGTCATTGTTTATTGCCAAAGTTGGAGTCGGGATCTCTCTGAGGGTCATGAAGCACCAAGCGATAATTGCTAATGGAACATTTTAGTCATATGTTATAAAGGTTAAAAACACTGCATTTATTTAATGTAATGCATATTCCCCACTAGTTTTAAACAAAGATAAAGCTCATTGTGTTAGCATTCAGAGAATGTATTATGAAGAACTCTCAGCTATCACCACATCAATTTTAGCTCCATATCTGTAAAACTGACAGAGTTAGAGGCATTTTTATGGTCACAAATGTTTATTCGCTGTAGCAGCAGTTTTGAATAAAGCAACTTTAAGTGTTAATTATATATCTACCTTCAATAATTAATAGTTATTATAATGCCAAATTTTATTTTGTATTTAAATTTGACAAAGTATAGACATTTTTTTTAGATTGCTAAGGTTGATTGGCTGTGGCAGCATAACTTTGGGATGACTTTAAAGGCTTGTTGATGTCCATCCAATCATTACTTTCTGAAGATTTCATTAAAATCCAATCAATCGTGGAGGCATTTTGCTAACAGACAGGGAAACGAAAATACACCCAGTGGCACACATTTCATGGCTGCATGCAAGTGTTTGTGTTGGCATTTTTCAGTTATTTATTAGGTAACATAAACCAGTTCTAACTGGGGTCACAAGCCTCAACTACTTTTATTTTGTAGGTCTGAAGATGGAAAGTTGAGTTCCAGAAGTTATTCTGCATTCTTGCCAGCAGAGGTCAGTGTTGTCCTTTACAGTCAGTCAGGGGTCCAGTGGATGTTTGGGTGTCTGTGTGGAAGGATTAGGACCAAATATGGCCATTGTGGTTTCACTTTTGTCTCCTTTTTTTCTTCACAAAGCAAACATTACATTGAGAGATCTCCATTTGGATGTGTTGGTCAGGAAAGGGAGTTTGCATTGTTTGAATTCTCATTTCACCATTACAAGTCTGTGAAAATGGACTCATTTCTAAAGAGTAAGGGTCAAACAAATAAGACAAACTTGAACACTTATGTTTATTACTTTTACAACAGTCTCACAAGGTGTTTGCTGAACATTGGAGAAGAAAGACTGTGATGGTAAGAAGTGTGCAGGAGGGTCACGTGTCTTCTTCTAAACACCATATTTGGTTGTTTTATGGTTTTGGTTTTATGGAAGGCCAGGCCAAACAATTGGGAGGGGGAACATTTAGATGCATGTGTTAAGGTTAATCATGCATCTATTTATTTATTTATTTGTTTGTCTGTTACAGCGCAATCAAAAGCTTATCAAATTTTGGGAATAGAACAGGTCTAGCGTTGATTTACCCATACAATAAACTTTTACAGATTTAGCTAAATGTATAAAGGAAATAAAAACAACAACAACAATGTGCTTGATCATGAAAAGTGTATAAACAAGACAACATTCTCATTATTATTTATTGGAGATGGGGTGGGGGGGGGCTATCTATAGTATGAGATGACAGAACCTGGGCTCAGAATAAAATATTTATGTTATTGTTGGTTCAGAACAAATTTGAATTTGTGTTTGTGTGTGTTTTCTACTAAATCAGGTTTTCAAACAAGTAATTTCAGGCAGTTCAGGACAAAAATGTTCATAGGTTGTTGACTTTGCATGTATGGGTTTTACACTGAGCTCATCTTATATTGAGAAACAAACCATGAAAAATATTTTAGGTGCAATCTGGTGGTTCATTAGATAGCTCGTTAACAGACAGACACATAAACACTGGCAAAAGCATTGATATCAGCAGCTAATAATGAATTAAGAAATGGAGGACACGTAGGATTAAGGAAAATACCTAAAATATTTAATGCTCTCTGTTTAAAAACATTTTTTAGATAATAGTACCGATGTGAGTGATTATGTTGAACATTTAACCTGTTTTGCCATCACTCAAGTCTTTCCTGAGCCACAACTGGAAAATAATTTTATTTAGGTTTTGTTTCATGGTCAATTTAAAAAAAAAAAAAATTGGTTTTATAAACTGGTTGCAAAGACATCAGTGGACCAAATGTTCATTTTCAAAATAGAATGGTGAAGCCAAGGGAGCTTAAATCAAACTGGTTGAATAGGGCCTCTAAATTTTTGTCCCCTCAGCACAGAGCAAAGAGGGGCAACTGGAAATATCCCCGTTCATCCATCCATAAACGTGAGCGCAATAACTTGAAAATCAGTGATGTACCGACTTCCATTTTGGCATGGCTGCATCTAGGTGTAAGAAAGATTCCTTTTGAAAATTGGGTTGCCAGGTCAAAATACAAGATGGCTGCCACCATATACAATATATGTAAACCTTAGTAGCTGGATAACTTGAAAAATAAGCAAAAAAAGAAGGTGGCTTTTCTTTTTTGGTGTGTAGCTGCATCTAGGTGTAAGAAAGGTTCTAATGGATTTCCAACATTCCTATGTTCCTTATATATATATATATATATATATATATATATATATATATATATATA